GAAGGATAGCTTACCTGCGTTAGACCTATCCCCCATTCAAAAAGAGGCAGGATGGTGGTAAACACAGAGAAGGTAACTGGTCTGTAGATATTCTGAAATTGTCCATGTCAAATATTGCCAGGATTACTACTCTGGCTCATGAAGTTTCCTTGACTAGATCCCAGTTCTGCTCCTTCAGTGTGACTCCAAGTCTCTTGTTATCCACACTTCCTAAGGAATGGTTTCCAAATTGAGCAATTCTCAAAAGTGGTACAGTACTTCCATACTTAGGATAATTTAGGACATTTCAAAGGGTCCCAAATAAAAACTACTTTCATAAGGACTTTAAAATATTATTAGCTTTTTCACTTTGTTCACATTTGCACTGACAGTGCAAAACCAATAGTGGGTAAAATTGGTGACACACAACTCCCTTAAAAACAGCAAATTTCCTATTTGTGTCTATTCTATATCTTAAAAGCTATATTTACAATTGTTTTTATGACAGGCTTCTCTTCACTTTGGGTGTCCAGGCTGGTGTACATAGCAGCTTTCTTTCTTTTTCTTTTTTTTTTTCCTAGCTGAGAGGTTGTACAAGTCACTGCCTTAAATCTTCCAGAGGTCTCAACCAAGTGTATTTCAGCCACACTTTTGATTTGATCTTTACCCTAAGGCCATTTGTACTTTATATCTGGCCTGAAAAATGGGAATTTAAAAAGAGTTTAAATTCCCCACCCCCTCCAAATGCATCCTTCTTTTTCTGTACATAATTCTACAGGGTTAAAAATATCCACTGGCACTTTTATCATATTCCAGAAAATCATTTTACCAAGATCTACAAGTACATTATACTTACATTTTCTATATTCCAATTTACAAGAGGAACCATTTTGCCATTGGTTTTACAACTATATAATATGGGTGACCATTTAGCAAATCTGCTATAGCACTTGACTCTCTGCTTTTATTGCTCAACTGTTTTTGTTTGCTGTTTTGTTTCATTTTGTTTTGGACAATGTCAAGTCTTTGCTAAAAATTTCCTTGACTCCTGCATTGCCAACCAAAGCCTCATCCCAAAGCCAATGCCAAATGTTTTAGGATTTTGTTATAGCAGTATCTCATTCATAAAACCAATTTCTGTATCAGTAAGCTTTTGCTGCATAACAAAACATTTCTACACCTTTAAATCTTTGGGTTGGTACTATGACAGCTCTCAGCCTGGCTGGGATGGGTTCGCTCATTTGTCTGTAGTCAGCTGCATCTCAGCAGGGCAGCCTTTCTCTAATGCGAGTCCCTGGGCCATGTGTTTTTTCATCCTCCAGCAGGCCAGCCTGAGTCTCTTCACTTGTATGGCAGGAATTTCAAAACAGCAAGAAAGAGTTTACAAATCCCACTGTAAGGACTTCTCAAGCCTTTGTTGCTGTCATTTTTTTTTTTTTTT